GGGTGGGCTTGGGGGGGGGCAGAGGGGCACGAGCCTCAATGAGGTTTTGTTCCAATTTTATTTTGCCTTTTCAAAAATCTGTTTCAAATCATCCTGGGCCCGCACAGCTTTCTCTTCTGGACAAAACAGAATTGTGAAACACGTACAGCGCTTACCACATGCCTCCCCAGGGGAATCACACATTAATATTAGCGTGGGCTATTTGCATGTGTGTCCCTGTGGCGTGGCTGGCAGCAGCCACGGGAGAGGCAGGCTGGGTCAGTGAGTGTCTCCCTGGCACGCAGGAGGAGGACGCGGTTATATTTGAGGGCCAGGAAGTGCCCAGCAGGGCTGCAGCAAGTGGGACACCCCAGGGTGCCAGGCACTGGGCCAGAATTAAAGACCCCAACACCAGCTGTGGCCTCCTCTGGAACATTCCATCCCTAAGCAGCTCTGTACGGACCCAGCTTACTTCCCCTTCAGGGACAGACGAGCCGGACCTGAGGAGTGGTCTCTGCTCTGGGGTGGACAACTATCTTAGACACCCCCAGCCCTTGTAAACTGGGACAGCTGGTCCCTCTACCCAGTCCCAAAAGTTGCTAAACCACCTTGAGTGAGTCATTTCCCTTCTCCTGGTCGCCTCGTAAGGGATTATGTCCGGAAATATCTCTCTCTCTCTCTCTCTCTCTCTCTCTCTCTCTCTCTCTCTCTTTCTCTCTCTCTCTCTCTCTCTCTCTGAATTGGAGTCTCACTCTGTTACCCAGGGTGCAGTGGCATGCTCACAGCCACCGTAGGCTTGACCTGCAGGGCTCAGGCGACCCTGTCCCCTCAGCCTCCCAAGTAGCTGGAACTACGGGCACGCCCTACCACACCTGGCTTATTTTTTAATTTTATTGTAGAGACAAGGTTCTCACCATGTTGCCCAGGCTGGTTTCGAACCCGTGGGCTAAGGCATTCCTTTTGCCTCTGCCTCCCGAGTGTGGGATTACAAGTGTGAGCTACCATGCCCAGCTGGAAATCTTTCAAATCGTCCCACAGCTCTAAGATTCTGCTGAAGAGCACTGGAATTCTGAACTGGGTGAGGGAGTCAGACAGGGGTCTAAAAAGGAGAGGAGTCCCCTACCACTTCCCCCAGAGACGCAGGGAAGGCACTGGAGGAGGCTGGGTGAAGGGGGGAGAAGAGACAGATGGCCACAGTGCTGCTGGCCGGATGTCAGTGGTGACAACCCCATGGCCGCAGCTCCTGAAAGGCACAAGGAATTGCTGAGAGATCGGGTGTCTACTGATGACAGGGACCCCCCCACACTTATCATCAGAACCTCAGTCCCTCCCAGGGGCCCTCAGGACCGTCTGGGGAACCCAAAAGAGTATCTGCCATGAGCTCACAAATGGGTCTGTCTTTGTTTGTTTGTTGAACTGGGATCTCACTCTGTCTCCCAGGCTGGCGTGCCATGGCCTGATCACGGCTCACTGCAGCTTTGACTTCCTGGGCTCAGGTGATCCTCCCACCTCAGCCTCCCAAGTGGCTGGGATGCTAACATGACCGGCCAATTCTTTGATTTTTGTAGAGATGAGGTCTTGCCGTATTGCCCAGGCTGGTCTCGAACTCCTGGACTCAAGCAATCCTCCGGCTTCAGCCTTCCAAAATGCTGGGATTACAGGTGTGAGCCACCATGCCCGGCCACTTGTTCCATTTGTCCTTCCTGCTTCCTCTTGCCCCCAAGGTCATTTGGGGCAGCTTCCCTGCCTGGCCATGTGCAACCGTATCTACAGTGCCTCCCCGGAATCGCCCAAAGCATCCCACCCTCTAGCCCCCGAGATGCTCTGACTTCTGGGCAGATGTGAAGAGAATGACTTTCTCCCCAGCTTGGTGACACGCTTTGCCATGCGGTCCCCACAGAGAGGCGAGGTGGAGGCAGCTTGTACTATCTTGCGAAAGCTGATCATCAGATTCTCAGGAATTTGGTGAACTGGTTGCTAAAAACAGCTGTTATTAAAAATTAAATGTCAGGCATGGTGGCTCACGCCTGTAATCCCAGCACTTTGGGAGGCAGAGGTGAGAGAATTGCCTGAGCCCAGGGGTTCGAGGCCAGCCTGTGTAACTTGGCGAGACCTTGTCTCTACAATAAATCAAGAAATTAGCCAGGCGTGGTGGTGCACACCTGTAGTTCCAACTACTTGGAAGGCTGAGGTGGAAGGATCGCCTGAGCCCACCAGGTTGGGGATGTGGTGGCCGTGAGCGTGCCACTGCATTCCAACCTGGGCGACAGAGTGAGACTCCAACAGTAGCAAGAACAACAACAGTAACAAAATTAAATGACATGAACTTACAGTGAAATAAATTGTATTACCAACAAAGGTGGCACGTACTCAAAGCTCTTCACTTCCCCTGCTCTTAAGCAGCATTTTTCTCTGGTCCGTATACAGAGGCTACTGACATTTGTGGTGTCGGCATGATGGAAACAACACGTGGCAACGTGCTGGTGCTCATGTATTCCTCCCCAAGTTCATTTTCAGCGACTTGAACTTGGCAGCTTGAAATTGGCTGGGGCAGGGGTACAAAAGCTGGCAAGTAGTACAATTCAGGGCTGGGTTTATTGTTCTGGTGATTGTCTAGATTTGAGAAAGCAAGGAGGAAAAGAATTAATGATGCAGATTAACACAACAGTTTAATGAAAGTTCCTATCACAGTTACATAATGGACGGTGTCAAAAGTTGAGGATGTTGGTTACTCTGTGAATGAACATAGAGACTTCCTGCAATTTCCTCGCTGTTTTGCTTTTGTCTTCATCCTTAGAGTAAACAGGGGTATCAGGCAATATGTCTAAAGCTTCACCCGTCGAAGTCAAAGGCTGATTAGATACAAGAGTCAGGGTGAGAATCAGACACGTTCTGTGCTAATTGATAGATTATATGAAATGTACAGGCTGAGCATGGTGGCTCACGCCTATAATCCCAGCACTTTGGGAGGCCGAGGTGAGCGGATTGCTTAAGACCAGGGGTTCGAGACCAGTTTGGGCAATTTGGCAAGGCCTTGTCTCTACAATAAATCAAAAAATTAACTGGGCGTTCTGGCATGAGCCTGTAATTCCAGCTACTTGGAAAGCTGAGGCAGAAGGATCGCCTGAGTTCAGCAGGTGGAGGCTGCAGTGGGTGTGAGCATGCCACTGCACTCCAGCCTGGGTGACAGAGTGAGACTCTGACTCAAAAGAAAAAAAAGAAAGAAAGAAATGTGCAGAAAAGCATATTGACAATTTCTTTATCTGTACATTGTGTGTTGCATAGCTTTGGCATCAATACGTTTTATAATAAGCCGGGCTGGGTGCAGTGTCTCATGCCCATAATTCCAGCACTTTGGCAGGCTGAGGTGGGAAGATCCCACTTGAGTCCAGGCTGGACAGCATGGCAAGATCCTGTCTCTCTAAAAATAAAATAAAGCTTTCTAATAAACTGAAGTGCATGTATGTATGTAAGTGTGTGTGTGTGGATATGCACATGTGTGTGCATGGGCTTTTTCCTGGGGAGCTGGTTGTTAATACCTTTCCTAGCATGCCACTGGGCCCACAGCATATACAGAGGGTACCAAAAAAATGTGCACAGAAAGAAAAAAAACTATTAAAATTGTAAAATACCCAATAAGATGAAAACAAATTATGTTTGACTTCTGTAATTGCAAAAGGTACTCAAAGTGGTTATCATCAGCATCCAGACACTTCTGATTTCGGTGAACATCTCTCTTTTTTTTTTTTTTTTGAGTCAGAGTCTCACT